TCACTGCCACTGGCACCACCACCCTATTTCCTCAAGTGGTACCTTCCGTGGCCTGGCTCATTTCCGCCAATGGTACTGCCCACCTTGGCTCTTTCCTCCCCCCACATTTACACCAATGGTACCTGCCCAGCCTGGTCTGTTCCCCCCCCTCCCTTCCAGCCAGTGATGCTCAGGGGACCACAGGGCCAGAGCCCCCTTCACCACCATGGACACGGTCTCCAGGCAACCGTTGTCGGGGCGCAGCAAGAGCCTCTTCCTCTTAAAGGGGCAGGCGCCCCATCCCTGGAGCATCTCCAGGCCCCCACATTTACACCAATGGTACCTGCCCAGCCTGGTCTGTTCCCCCCCCTCCCTTCCAGCCAGTGATGCTCAGGGGACCACAGGGCCAGAGCCCCCTTCACCACCATGGACACGGTCTCCAGGCAACCGTTGTCGGGGCGCAGCAAGAGCCTCTTCCTCTTAAAGGGGCAGGCGCCCCATCCCTGGAGCATCTCCAGGTCGTGTGTGTCATAGCCCCCTGCTGGGGGTCCTGTCCCCCGTGTGTGTCATAGCCCCCTGCTGGGGGTCCTGTCCCCCGTGTGTGTCATAGCCCCCTGCTGGGGGTCCTGTCCCCCGTGTGTGTCATAGCCCCCTGCTGGGGGTCCTGTCCCCCGTGTGTGTCATAGCCCCCTGCTGGGGGTCCTGTCCCCCGTGTGTGTCATAGCCCCCTGCTGGGGGTCCTGTCCCCCGTGTGTGTCATAGCCCCCTGCTGGGGGTCCTGTCCCCCGTGTGTGTCATAGCCCCCTGCTGGGGGTCCTGTCCCCCGTGTGTGTCATAGCCCCCTGCTGGGGGTCCTGTCCCCCGTGTGTGTCATAGCCCCCTGCTGGGGGTCCTGTCCCCCGTGTGTGTCATAGCCCCCTGCTGGGGGTCCTGTCCCCCGTGTGTGTCATAGCCCCCTGCTGGGGGTCCTGTCCCCCGTGTGTGTCATAGCCCCCTGCTGGGGGTCCTGTCCCCCGTGTGTGTCATAGCCCCCTGCTGGGGGTCCTGTCCCCCGTGTGTGTCATAGCCCCCTGCTGGGGGTCCTGTCCCCCGTGTGTGTCATAGCCCCCTGCTGGGGGTCCTGTCCCCCGTGTGTGTCATAGCCCCCTGCTGGGGGTCCTGTCCCCCGTGTGTGTCATAGCCCCCTGCTGGGGGTCCTGTCCCCCGTGTGTGTCATAGCCCCCTGCTGGGGGTCCTGTCCCCCGTGTGTGTCATAGCCCCCTGCTGGGGGTCCTGTCCCCCGTGTGTGTCATAGCCCCCTGCTGGGGGTCCTGTCCCCCGTGTGTGTCATAGCCCCCTGCTGGGGGTCCTGTCCCCCGTGTGTGTCATAGCCCCCTGCTGGGGGTCCTGTCCCCCGTGTGTGTCATAGCCCCCTGCTGGGGGTCCTGTCCCCCGTGTGTGTCATAGCCCCCTGCTGGGGGTCCTGTCCCCCGTGTGTGTCATAGCCCCCTGCTGGGGGTCCTGTCCCCCGTGTGTGTCATAGCCCCCTGCTGGGGGTCCTGTCCCCCGTGTGTGTCATAGCCCCCTGCTGGGGGTCCTGTCCCCCGTGTGTGTCATAGCCCCCTGCTGGGGGTCCTGTCCCCCGTGTGTGTCATAGCCCCCTGCTGGGGGTCCTGTCCCCCGTGTGTGTCATAGCCCCCTGCTGGGGGTCCTGTCCCCCGTGTGTGTCATAGCCCCCTGCTGGGGGTCCTGTCCCCCGTGTGTGTCATAGCCCCCTGCTGGGGGTCCTGTCCCCCGTGTGTGTCATAGCCCCCTGCTGGGGGTCCTGTCCCCCGTGTGTGTCATAGCCCCCTGCTGGGGGTCCTGTCCCCCGTGTGTGTCATAGCCCCCTGCTGGGGGTCCTGTCCCCCGTGTGTGTCATAGCCCCCTGCTGGGGGTCCTGTCCCCCGTGTGTGTCATAGCCCCCTGCTGGGGGTCCTGTCCCCCGTGTGTGTCATAGCCCCCTGCTGGGGGTCCTGTCCCCCGTGTGTGTCATAGCCCCCTGCTGGGGGTCAGACCTGCGGTGTGTCATAGCCCCCTGCTGGGAGTCCTGTCCCCTGTGTGTCATAGCCCCCTATTGGGGGTCAGACCTGCCCCCTGTGTGTCATAGCCCCCTGCTGGGGGTCCTGCCCCCGGTGTGTCATAGCCCCCTGCTGGGGGTCCTGCCCCCGGTGTGTCATAGCCCCCTGCTGGGGGTCCTGCCCCCGGTGTGTCATAGCCCCCTGCTGGGGGTCCTGCCCCCGGTGTGTCATAGCCCCCTGCTGGGGGTCCTGCCCCCGGTGTGTCATAGCCCCCTGCTGGGAGTCCTGTCCCCTGTGTGTCATAGCCCCCTGCTGGGGGTCAGACCTGCCCCCTGTGTGTCATAGCCCCCTGCTGGGGGTCCTGCCCCCGGTGTGTCATAGCCCCCTGCTGGGGGTCCTGCCCCCGGTGTGTCATAGCCCCCTGCTGGGGGTCCTGCCCCCGGTGTGTCATAGCCCCCTGCTGGGGGTCCTGCCCCCGGTGTGTCATAGCCCCCTGCTGGGGGTCCTGCCCCCGGTGTGTCATAGCCCCCTGCTGGGAGTCCTGTCCCCTGTGTGTCATAGCCCCCTGCTGGGGGTCAGACCTGCCCCCTGTGTGTCATAGCCCCCTGCTGGGGGTCCTGCCCCCGGTGTGTCATAGCCCCCTGCTGGGGGTCCTGCCCCCGGTGTGTCATAGCCCCCTGCTGGGGGTCCTGCCCCCGGTGTGTCATAGCCCCCTGCTGGGGGTCCTGCCCCCGGTGTGTCATAGCCCCCTGCTGGGGGTCCTGCCCCCGGTGTGTCATAGCCCCCTGCTGGGAGTCCTGTCCCCTGTGTGTCATAGCCCCCTGCTGGGGGTCAGACCTGCCCCCTGTGTGTCATAGCCCCCTGCTGGGGGTCCTGCCCCCGGTGTGTCATAGCCCCCTGCTGGGGGTCCTGCCCCCGGTGTGTCATAGCCCCCTGCTGGGGGTCCTGCCCCCGGTGTGTCATAGCCCCCTGCTGGGGGTCCTGCCCCCGGTGTGTCATAGCCCCCTGCTGGGGGTCCTGCCCCCGGTGTGTCATAGCCCCCTGCTGGGAGTCCTGTCCCCTGTGTGTCATAGCCCCCTGCTGGGGGTCAGACCTGCCCCCTGTGTGTCATAGCCCCCTGCTGGGGGTCCTGCCCCCGGTGTGTCATAGCCCCCTGCTGGGGGTCCTGCCCCCGGTGTGTCATAGCCCCCTGCTGGGGGTCCTGCCCCCGGTGTGTCATAGCCCCCTGCTGGGGGTCCTGCCCCCGGTGTGTCATAGCCCCCTGCTGGGGGTCCTGCCCCCGGTGTGTCATAGCCCCCTGCTGGGAGTCCTGTCCCCTGTGTGTCATAGCCCCCTGCTGGGGGTCAGACCTGCCCCCTGTGTGTCATAGCCCCCTGCTGGGGGTCCTGCCCCCGGTGTGTCATAGCCCCCTGCTGGGGGTCCTGCCCCCGGTGTGTCATAGCCCCCTGCTGGGGGTCCTGCCCCCGGTGTGTCATAGCCCCCTGCTGGGGGTCCTGCCCCCGGTGTGTCATAGCCCCCTGCTGGGGGTCCTGCCCCCGGTGTGTCATAGCCCCCTGCTGGGAGTCCTGTCCCCTGTGTGTCATAGCCCCCTGCTGGGGGTCAGACCTGCCCCCTGTGTGTCATAGCCCCCTGCTGGGGGTCCTGCCCCCGGTGTGTCATAGCCCCCTGCTGGGGGTCCTGCCCCCGGTGTGTCATAGCCCCCTGCTGGGGGTCCTGCCCCCGGTGTGTCATAGCCCCCTGCTGGGGGTCCTGCCCCCGGTGTGTATGGCCAAGGCCCAGCGGGACTACGAGCTGAAGAAAGCCGCCTACGACATCGAGGTCAACACCCGCAAAGCCGAGTCCGACCTGGCCTACCAGCTCCAGGTGAGACGCCCCCCGAGGGGTGGGGGCCGGGCCCCCCCGATGCCCGTGCGACACCGAAACCTGGTGGGGCCGGTGGCTTGATGTGGCTTCCCTGGAGCTGCTGACCTTTGACCCCTGACCTCCCCGGGTTGACCTTTGGACAGCCTCGTGGGTCGCCCCTCCAGGGGTCCCGCCCTAATCGATGCCTCCACCCTCCCGGCCAACCCCCGACGGCGTCCCCTGGCCCCCCCGCCTGCTCCTGCCTGGACT